TTAAAATACTGATTTCTTAATTTTGGGTTGGAAAAGTGGGGGGCGTCTTGTACATGGGGGCATCTTATGGATGGAAAAATACGGTACTTGCTCACTGACTCTGGCAAGGCTCCTAACCTTGGGTTGCAGAATTTCCATTTATTCTTTGTATCATTCCTTCTGCTGAACTCGAGTTCCTGGATACTTTCAAAGATCACAGTGCCAGCCATAAAGGAAAAAGTAACCAGCAATGCAATTGCTTCTTTGTATCTAGATTACTTGACTACAATCTGAAGATTATTTTGAGTATTAATCTGGTTAAATATTACCTTATTGCATCTAACTAGCCCAAAGAAATTACTCACAGGCACATGCTGTACTGGAGAGTCCACAGATAAAGGCGAAGGAACTGAATCTGTTGAAGTAGCTGGTGAGAGAGGTTCTGCTTTGCACTCTATATCTTTAATACAAAGAATTAAAGAAAATTACCAGACTCCTCTCAAGAACGACGGCACCCAAATGTGCATTCTACCTTCAGTACGCTAGGGACTGGAGCATGTTGTCTGAATGGTCTGGTTCTAGCTCACAGCCACCCTGCCTTCCCCCCATAAAGAGGGTACTAGGGATCCAGAATTTATTTCTCCTACAGAATCTTTTTATTCTAATAGCAAATTTTACTGTAAATGCACTTGAAGTACGGAAAGCTGAACTAACAATAAAATGAAGGTAATGATTTTATTTTTGTTTTATATGGGCTATAGGATGGGATGGGATATAGATTGATCTTTTTTCAGAGAGATTAAAACAGTGTCACTAGCTTTTCTGAACATGGCCTGACATTTTCCCTCAGCTTGGAGGGTTTCCACCTTTTTTAGCCTTTTTACATCTGAAGTTGACTGAACAGTTACACTTCCCTAGATAGTCAGGAATATGCCTCCCTCTAGCTTAAGACTTTTATTCCATGCCTTATACTCAAGACTACACATACCCCATTCCCTCAGCTTCTCTATCTTGAATTTAGTTTCTAATCTCTTGACCATTCTTACAGCTTGTTTGCTCCTCCACCCCCAACAGAACGTTGGGGTGTCTCAAACTTGAGTACTTGAGATGGGGTCTGAGGAATACAGTACAGAGCAAAATAATTACTTCCCAAGATTTGGAAACTATACTTTTATAGGTACAAACTAAAATTATGTCTGTATCTCTCACAGCCATATCATACTGCTTACTCAGTTGTGATGAAATACAATTCCAATTTTCATCTACTATCAGTATCCCGTGCATTTGATTTCTTTTTTCTAAATGAAAAATTTTACAGTTGTCTTTGTTAAATTCTATGCTGTTATTTTAAGCCCACTTTCCTAGTCTATCAATATTATTTTGATTAGTTATACCCTCTAATTCTGTATTAACAAAAATAATGAATAGTACAATGCCTAGGAGAGAACCCTGCAACTTCACATACAATACTTTGCTCAAGGTTGACAAAGGATTGTTGTTACACAAAGTTTTAAAATCTGTAGTGAATCAATCTAACTAACCAGTCACCCTACTGTCCATATTTAAATAACCTACTCAACAGAATGTCATGGCTATTTTTTCAAATGCCTTCTAAAATCAAAATATATTCTATTATTGTAAGGAATGCATGTAATTTAAAAAACAAGATAAGGTTAATCTATTAATGCCTGCTTTTTTACAAATCCATATTTTATATGTTCTAATTGTGAAAAAAGAAGGACAAATGGGGCTAACTACTTTGACCTGTTTCACTGGTTTGCCTCTATGGCAACTGATTTTTCCTAGGTCAACTGCTCTTGATAAGTAGTATTTCCCTCTCCTGACTTAAGTCCTCTGAAGAAAAGGATATCTTTTCAAGAGTTATATAGTTTTACTACTGCTTACTGCCATGAACAACTCAATCTGAAATTACCTGCTAGGGACCGCTTTGTAACATCCCATGCGTCTGAGTCCCAAGACATCAAATCTAGATCAAAGTCAAGGTCACCAAGGTTGCTTTCCTATAAATGATAGTAAGCAACGTTATGGAAAGACAAGCAACAGAAGGGTAGCAAAACTGAAATTTTATCAAATAAGCTCTTCCCAGGCAGGTTGAAGGTAAAAGATAAAAATGCTGGACCAGTATTGGGAGATATCAATTTTACTACCTTCTCACCTTTGTTTCTT